CGAGCGTCCCAACATGTGCGACTAAGAGATCCTATTACTATTTTGTTGGAAGCTTTTTTTCGAGACTTACGAGTGATGTGCAGTTTAGCGGCCGACTTCATGTTACTTTTCTGTTACAGTGTTGCGCGCGCATCTTAAAATTTCACTCTCATCATTTTTTCATAACGCGCCCGCGGCTAACTTCATTGTGTTACTTTTGTGTTACAGTGATGCGCGCGCATCTTAAAATTTCACTCTCATAATTTTTTCATAACGCGGCTAAAGAAGTATAACTTCAAAAATAACTAAAAGTAAATATTATTTTTTTGAATAGGACGGAATGTTATTGACTTATTTTTCTTTAATTCAATCGGATGACTTTTAAGGACATCTCATACACGAAACATTCCCACGACTGCATTAAAGTTCACAAACATTCCGTCCTTTTCGAAAAATATAATTTATTTTTTACTTTTTAATTGAGTTTTTTAACGGCAATCGGGTTTTTAATTTTATTTTAATGGATTTAGTGCCTTTTATAAATTATATATGCTTGAAGAAATCAATTTATTTTCTAGTATTTAGTCTAGTCACGTTTTACAGTTAAACCCGTTTATTAATGCTTAGTTTATTTACTTGTATTGTATATATTTAATATGGTCACATTAAGATCTTTCAAATGATAGGTACATAAAATGTCTTAATTAGACTTTTTTTATTTTACACATATAATAATAGACATTTTGTCATTATAGCTATTTCAATTTTTACATTTTAAGTATTGTCATCCGGGATCGTGAATGGTACAGATCCCGCCTGACCCATCAAGGGACTGGGTCAATTGGACTAGTGAGACAAACAGATTCTTACGATACATCTAAACCGGCTCACGCATTTCGAAGTTATGGTGGAATAATGAAACATACTGTATACATACATGAACCCTGAAAACGCTTTTTTTTGGGCAGCCATGTAAAAAGCATAACCCCTCATGTTGTAACTGTTACTTTAACCTTCGAAAAGGGTTCGCTGACGTGCATACTACGTGTATATCATCAATAACCTGAAATAATGAGGAAGGGTTGATTTATTCCATTGTTAAATTAAAATCGGGCAGGGCGCGTCGGAATTTCACGCACGCCCGCTTGTAGGAGCTACTCAGGATACTAAACTACTCGTATAATATAGACTACAGACACATTAATTACTGATAAGAACTCTTTTTATAATGGAAATCAAACTTTTCTTTCATTTTAAAAATGGATCCATAACTCTTGAATAAAAGATTTATTTTTTCGCTACCATCGGTTAATGTAATTTTAGGTGTGCAAAATACGAATGGAAAATCTTCACGACAATCAATTTCATTGGAATAGCAAAGGCATTTACAAAGATATAATGCATGATTCATAAATATTTCAAAGAGAAAAAGGTTGTTGAAATTACTAGAGCAGTGTCAAAATCAAGAATTTGTTCACGGTTTTTCCCACACCCGCTGCTGGCGGCCGCAGAGCTGTTTTATTTCAAAATTCACGAGACTGTAGTTTTTTGCCATCCTGCAGCCAAATCACGCCGTGAATTTTGCTTTAGCGTTTTACCTACAATTTCACAGTCTAAAGGCGCTGTCCGACGACCTTTGTTCTTCACTAACACTTTTGTCCGGTGACTGAATAAGCATAAACCTCTTCGCAGTTAAACCCAGTAAAGCTTGTAATTTTATATCAACTAAAATTTGTGTGAGTGTTATAGCAATAACTTCACGATAACACTTCTTCTTCTCTGCTTAAAGTTTATCATCCGTCCTTAATATTATTACACGTATTCCTTTTTTTCACTAAAATCTTTCACTGTTATATAGCGCCGCTTAGTCTTACAGCGATAAACAACGTTAAGGCTTTTTGAGTCGATACTTCTTTTATTTCTCCATTTTAAACGAATTTCTTAAATTTAGACACTTGATCTAGATTTTCCATTAAGTACTTCAGGATTTCAGCAACATCCTTATTTTCATAGATTTGAGGCTAATTTGTATACAATTTCTTCTATGATCAATATGTTCGTCTCTGAAAACTAATAGTAATGTTCAACCAAAGCGTCTATCACCAAAAGTCAAATGCTTCAACTTATTAGTGGCTCAATGTGCGCTTGTTCTAAGAGTACAATATAATATTTTTTGTAATCTGTCTGTCGGATATTTTATGACCTGACCAAAATTCCCTACTTAAGTGAGATTTGAAGATAAAATATGTTACAATAATAATTTCTGAATATATATGTAGATTTGATGACAAAAAATCGTTCAATACCTATATATCTCGTAAGGGGCGCGTCGCGCGCAGCTTGTTGGTTTGGGAAAAATGTAGCAAATGTATGTCTTATTAACATATAAAAAATCAATTCGAAACACGAAGGGCATCTTTAGATAAAGAATTTTTATGTAGTTTTCCATACAAAAAAAAACATGTTAGGTACCATATATATCATCATACCAATAACGTCTCATAAGAAAATTCTATTAATGATTTTTAAAGCTAATAAGTAGCTGAATACTATGGTACTATTTATTTTCACAATTCGTCACATGGTTTTTAAGTACCCTATGTCCCATCGTTTGTATGTCATCGATCCAAAGTGCGGCCTCGTCCGCGATAACACAGGTCGTCGGACAGCGCTTTAAAAGAGTTGCGGTCCTGCAGCCGCGGCGGGCGCGAGAGTGTATTGCGCCGTGATTTCTTAGTAAATAGTTTACAAATTAACCCAATTAACTTCGTGTAACAACTTAACAGTTTCGAGTACCAAATGAGCCATTTTGTTATTTCGTGTTGCCCAAAAACAATTTATTACAACAAAAACTGTATTTCACCTTTAGAATAATGCCCAAAGAAGCATTCGAAAGGAATCCAAATACATAAATAAGTAATTTAGCGTCTAATTAATGGTTTCCTTGTCTGAGACAGCTGTTAATGTTGATTAATAATGTTTCTCCAACTTCCTCGGCTTGACACGCTTTTCACGAGGAGCTGACATTAACATAATTAGCACGTCATACTAACTGAGATGCAGTATTTTCAAACAAAAGATTTCTTTGAATACTGCCTGATAAATTGGTAATCGAATTTTATTTTAACACACTTAGAGAAAGAGTTTTTTATGTTAAAAGGGTGGCCTGATGGTCAGTGGCTCAAGAGCAAGAACAAAACTCAATAAAACGACCTCTTGCACTCGAACGAACGTTTGTTACGTTAAAAAAATAATTTATACATACTACCTAACTAATATAATAAAAAAAGGAAAAGAAGAAAAACTAATATACAGAGGGGTTTTTGGCGGGATTTCATCGAGTGCGGTTGGCGTCTTATTTTAATTATTCTTAAATTTGTTCATAGTGGATATTGTGAAATGAAATTGGTGTGATTTTGTGTTACAACCTGCGCAACTGAAGAATTAGTGGAATCTTTAAAATTAACGCTATTCCGGTCAAGTGGACGTGACAACTTTATTGTAGTATTGAATACCTCACAGAAGCTTATCGAAAAAGCCAACTCGATATATTTCGTGCCAAACACTCCAAGAAGCATTAGAATGCGTCACACCCACATTCTAATGTAAAAAAAGGAAGATTAATACAAAAATAAGACGATGGCTGCATGGCTCTGCCTTTGCCTTTCGCAATAGAGAAGAATAGAACTAAAAAAAAATTAATATACAGAGGCAAAGAGTAGTATAATATACCGGAAATACAGAGGTGTCGGCCACGGTGTAGCGAAATCAATGGTTTGTAGTGTAGTTTTCCCATCTAAAAAATGCCTAATGCGCCTAATGAAGTTTACACTTCAAAAAGTTTGGACCTGCGGGTTTTGATATTCATACACAGATGAAATAGATTACTATTACTAACAATAAAAATACTAGGCGAATTTTTATGTAAGTATGATCCGTCCTGATTTTATCCTCATAAGCGCTATGATAGATTACTTGATTTAGATACACATTAAAATGGACCGTACTGCTTTGATGAAAAGACTTTATTATCTTGTTATGTGTCTGCCATTTAATGCTATTAAAACGCCCGCTGTCGTAGAAAGATATCATCACTCAAACTTCTACGAAAGCATTTAAGTAATTCGACCGTAAGATCAGGCTTCCTTCCTAAATTTAATGCCTCTCAAATCTGAAGTCGTATCTTGACAGTAAATTTTCAGTGTTACAGTTTATTTATTAAGCCCAAAACAGAAATGTTATTGTTAAGGAAATTCTCTTCGCGAAGTCAAAATATTTCAAGTTGAATAATTTTAGTGCGTGCCCTAAATACTGCGCGATGGGCTTTTGTATATTGTTAATTGTTTTAAGAATTGTTAATATTTCATTTAATAATGATAAGTATGCAAATGTTTAACCGAAAGTGAAAATATGTCTCTACATATTTTCGCCTTTATTTCGAGGCCCGAGCACGAATTTTTGACACGAATCTTCGTCGTCGTATGGAAAAAGCTAGTTTGTTCTGACGTCCGATAGGGACGCTGTTTAGTTTTCATAGAAACTTTCACAATGCAATACGGGGAGCTGTCAAAAATTCGTGCTTGGACCTCAGATACGTACAGTGCTTTACGGCATAGCTATATTACAGTTAAGAAGGAAATCATTTCAAATACTTTAGATAAACATACACCAATATAAATAGGTAGTAGCAAAAATAAAGTTGTAATCACAGACCTAGATTTAATTATATTATATTTCGATATACCTCTGTTTGTGGTTGTAATATATAGGTTGCCCATCACAAAACACAAATGACAAACTAAAAGGTAGCATTTAAGGGGAAATTTTCTTTTAAATTCACTTATATATCTAAAATGATTTTTTTTCACGCATTTGTGCATAAGTATCACATCTCTAGCGTAGGGGGTTATTTGACTTTAACGGAAATTGAAACGAACGGGATCTTTTTAAAAAATTATATAAGCACAACAAACCCATAAAAACTTAGAGCGATACCTAAACATATTTTTCTTCTTCCACAGGTATATATTCCTGGCGATATACACAGCGGAGATGATAATCAAATGCATAGCGAAGGGTTTCATTTTGAACAAGTACACGTACCTCCGGAACCCGTGGAATTGGCTGGACTTCGTGGTTATCACGTCAGGGTACGCCACCATCGGCATGGAGGTGGGCAACCTGGCCGGCTTAAGGACCTTCAGGGTGCTGAGGGCGCTTAAGACTGTCTCCATAATGCCAGGTGAGAAAACGCCTTGTATATTTGAGAATATGGAAGATAGAATCCGCTATGCCGGATTTTCTGCTTGAATTGAAGCATCCGTCTGAGGAAGTAACCTCCACCTTACAGAAGACTGCAGTAGGATAACTCTACCTTTTCGTGGTTTTGTGTTTCTGTCGATGTTTAAGGTTCCAGGGCTCCATGGGGTAGGGAAGTGGGTTAGGGTAGGCAACAGTGTGAGTGATATTTTTTGTATCGCAAGAGTCTAATGGCCGCTTACCATTAGACGGGCCATATACTTTGCCACCATTTTAAAATAAAAAATATATATACCAGGCGACATCGACGCCGCAATGCAGTGTTGTCGCTTCACCCATATGGCGGCGTAAAAACGAAAAAAGTCGCGCAATTTTGATTACTAATAGATATTAGTATAAGGGTATTGCAGATAAGTGTTTAAATCTAAATATAGGTGATAGAAAGGATTATTGCCTTTATGATATTGTATACTGACTTGGAGAATTATTCTCAGCGATCTGTAAGCACCACAGCACGGTGCTGTGTTGTGATGTCCCCACCTTTACATAAACATTTCTTATTAAGACACGATAAGATAGGACATTTACACATTTACAGCACGGGCGCGTTCAAAAATGCAAAGACTTCGGTACCTATGAGCTAGGGAAATGTATGCAGGCACAATGATTCATACTTACATCATCAGTCCATCAATCAGCAACAAAGACGCTTGTATAAAATTTTATATACCACCTGCATATGTAGCACGTATTACGTCAAGCATGCTCAATTTAAAGTAAGTTATTAAGTATGGGTATTAATGACATTTTAAGGAACTCCAAAATGGTAACAAAAACTTCTATCAAAATAGTTTCGAAAAAAAACAAGGCCGTTCAAGACATAACTTCCTCGCTTCAAGAAGTTTTTGACTATAAAATTCGACAGTCAAAGATACCTTACTCCGATGAAAGATATGCGACAAAAAAGCTTGGCTGAACGTCTTAGCTATTAAATTTCTTTGGCCCACGTAAATAAATATCTAAAGAAAATATCTATGATTTTTTATCAGTGACCTTTATCACGAATCGTTAAATTGCTGTCACTTACTAAAATTCACCTGAGAAAAAGAGGTTCAGACTATCTCTAAACCAAATTTCATATAAATCCGTTTAGCGTTTTGGCCTAAAAAGGTAACATACAGACAGACTCGCATTTTTAATATAAGTATGGACAGTTACATCGATTAGATAACAAAATAACACACACGACCGCTCCGAATCCGTGCCCGCTCATGGTGTTGATGTGAATGAGGCCTTAATGACCCCCTTTATGACGACGGTCGGACGTTTAGTGTGAATCGCTGAGTGAACACGATTTCGATCTCTTTCCAAGGTGAAGTATAGAGGCGGTGGGTAATTTACGTCACCTAAAGTTAAACCTGGACTAAAGCTGATGCTTTTGCTTCCTAACAAGAAGACAGAGACAACATTAGGTTTTAAACCAAGACTGACTTCAGTCCGCGTTTTGGAATAAGGCGGTAAGTCATTTCCAGATTATGAGTATTTTTAAATTAATTCAAAATTTCACAAAGTCATTTGTGCATTAGTCGTGACAAGACTTTCAATGCCTGAACGTTACTATAATAATACTATAAGAATACGTCGCTTTTAGTGAATCCCGATGACACAGCGGTAAACGTCATTGGATGGGTGATCAAAAAGGAGATCTTCCATTTTGGTATTTGAAACCCCCCGACGATAAATTATATATTAAACGCAAGCTCAGAAGAATTTAAAATACCATTTTTTTTTATTTGAAACTCGCCGCGTTATTGTGTAATTTTAATCCTTTCAATCGAGTTCTCTGTTTAAATAATGACAAAAAATAACATCCCTATTATAAGTCAGAAACAAGATAAAAAACCAACTTGCATGTTCTGAAAACAGTATATTTTTATAAAAAGTACCATAGACTACACCGAGGAAATCCTCAGAGAAAATCCACATAATATCAAACTAATCTATAGATAGAAAATTATGTATATATTAGGCTTAAAAACATCATAAAAAGAAAATCGGTACACCTTTTATTTCACTCGTCCTCCTAAAGCTTTCTCTTTTAATACACCATAAAAATGGTTGATGCCTTAAATTCTCATTACTGAAATACATAAAATATGCAAGAAGCAACGAAGCTTAAATTTTCCTGTAATGTACTTATATTGATCCGACTAGTGGGTATAGGTTTAAGTAGGGGACAGTGTAACGAAAGGAATATCTCTGTACTCGGCCAATTGACGTCTGATAATGAACTGTTGAAGATGGAGGCATATGGAACAAAAAAAATGAAGGTAGACCATAGACAAATAAGAAAAGGGAAGAGATATACTCCTTTTTGTTACACTTTGCCCCTTGCTACTTGAGTAATAAAACAGATAAAAAAGTTGGGTACAGTTTTTAAGCTTCTGCACACACATTGGTAAAAAGGAAGCAAATTACTCCGGCTTTGCTATATGTTCTCTTGAAATAATAGTGACCGTATGGTTTTGGAGTACCTATTTTTAAACACGCTCGTTTAATATGCAATTCGTAATTCGATCTTACTTGACGACCTCCGTGGCCGAGTGGTTTGTACGCCGCGTTTCATAGTATCGCCGACTCCAGAGGTCCCGGGTTCGAATCCTGGACAGACTGGGGGCAGATGTTTGTGTGATGAATACGAGCCTCCAGTCATGGATGTTTAATAAATATTTATATATAAAAATATACTCATATAATGTACAGTTTAAGCATTCTATCCATTACCCTAGTATCCCATAACACAAGCCTTACAGTGCTTACTTTGGGGCTAGGCTAATTGGTGTGAGTGTTAGAAATATTTATTTTATTTATTTATGTGTTGAAGTCATGGTTTTTATTTTAAAAGGATGGAAAATAAGCGAATGGCCCGCCTGATGTTAAATTTTCCTACCACTTCCACCATAGCCTGTAGACGCTTGCGATACCAAAAATATCATGCACACCGTTGCCTACTCTGACCCAATTCCCTACCCCATGGAGCCCTGGAGCCTTAGTTAACGATAGAAACACAACACCACCAAAAGGTAGTGTTATTTTACTGTGATATACTGTAGTAGGTGGAGGTTACTTCCCCATACGGGCGCTCCAATTCAAGTAGAGAAAAATAATTCTACGCTATAATATAAAGACAAATTATTCTATGAGGAGCTCGATGGCGCAGGTGAAGTGCAGCAACTTTCGCAGTGGTCGGTCATTGGATGGGTTACCAAAAAATTTACTATCTCGAACTCCTCCGTGCTTCGGAAGGCATGTTAAGCCGTTGATCCCGGCTGCATCTGCAGTCGTTAACCCCCACCAATCCGCACTGGGCAGGCATGGTGGGTCATGGCCCAATGTCCCTATTCCATCCATAGGGAAGGCCTGTGCCCCAGCAGTGGGGACATTAATAGGCTGATGATGATGATGATGAAATTATTCTATGGTGTATTAAATTCTTCCACTACATACTGTGAAGATGATATTAAAGTATCAAAGGACGTCACACTTGATATTATATTTAACTAATCAAATCTCAAGCACTCGATTAATAAATATTATTAAAGCGCATAATATACGTGTAATATTAATCATTTCGAAACTCAAAAACTTTCGAGTCCCTTTTTTAACAAATCGCTCATGTATGTATATGCAAATATAAATAAATAAATATTTCCAACACTCACACCAATTAGCCTAGCCCCAAAGTAAGCACTGTAGGCTTGCGTTATGGGATACTAGGGCAATGGATAAAATACATATAAAAGTATATTTACATAGAAATACATATTAAACATCCATGACTAGATCACAAATGCTCGTATTTATCACACAAACATCTGCCCCCACCTGGATTCGAACCCGGGACTTCTCGAGTAGGCAACACCTTGAAACCACGGTACAAACCACACAGCCACGGAGGTCGTCAAAATAGAGAGTTTCTAGGCAATTATTAATAACTTTACTAATAAGTAACTTTGTAAGTCCACGGTCAACAGAACATCCGTATCTATCATACGAACATTGCCAGGGGTACCCACTAATGTCCCACTAATGTTATCAAATTAACGTTTCTTGCGCCGTTGTAAACACAGTTTAATAGTCCATTAAAGGGCTGATTTCCATCTGGTCTCGTTAGGGAAATGGACCATTAAAATTTTTCAATTACGAATCAAATTTTTCGAGGTAAAAGATTATTATAGGCTGAAGAGCGGGTGTTTAGACTCAAACGATGACTAATTACACACCATTGGTAATCAGTTTAATGTAATTAAATATTCTGCTGCTCAGTGTAGTTTGTCTTTGTTTCTTTGTCTATCAGTTGGATTATCAAAAAGTATTGGACACGTATTTTTTTTGAAGTGAAAACTTCTTTAACGGCGTTGTACACTTTTTTTGTAATGGGTAAAAACTGTTATACTCGCGTCAGGACACGTGGGCTGATCGCGTCAGTCCTGACCAGTCCTGATCGCAATAAATAAATATTGTATTCTACCACATAAATGATAGTACTTTTGTACTGATAATTAAAGCATTCGTGCAAAATTATTCCCTTACCATTCCAAAATATCAAAAATGCACAACATTACTTTTCAAGTTTTTACTTCCGCCGGCACTCCCGGAGTGCAACCCGTCGTTTTTTTTTCACATAATCAAAGCATTACAGAGATACGCATATTGATTTGAAATGTCCCATGACGTTACATTTTGGTGCAAATTTTACCAATGATTTTTAATTAGGAGTGACGTTTTGATTCTACACCCAAACTTTAATGTACTTTATCCATGGCTTTATCTTTGTAATTGTTTGGTTTATTGACAAAAGAAGAAATATGTGTCCATTATATTTTGATAGTATTACTGACGACGTACTAAATCAAATTTCGTTTACTTTACACCCCTTTGATGACATTTATTCTAGCAAGTGAGGCAGGCGACTAAGTTACT